CGAATAACAACCATGTGTTCAGCGCGCTGCTATCGCACAACTGACAGATTGAATAACAATGTTTATGATAAGGGTTCGCCGTTTGGGACTACAATTAGAAATGGGAAAATAATAAGAAAGAATCTACAGAATATTCCTGAAAACTGAAGTCCTACGATCGTGATAAGGGCTGGAAAAAATCCGCAATAATTATGCATCAACCTAATGCTTGAGTACCTGTCTATAGGGAATTGTTAAGCCATTGTGGACGTTTTCTGTAGGAGGCATGCGCAGGATAAGTGCGGCTTGGGTAACGCTTCGGACATCACTGCTTCCGTAAAGGGTTGCTGGGCTTTCTCTAATGTTGTTGTAAATCCCCAATATGGTATGAGGTCCATACTCTAGAATCGGAAGAATATAACATCGATAAAGTTTTAGAAACCCTGAGACACAATCTTACGACCGCTTGTGAAATGATCAATAGGGCACTGGATACTCTTTGCAAGACAAGTTTTATGAAGCGCTGGAAACAGAGATCTGAGTTTTCGTAGAATCCAAAGACTTTGACGCCCTCAGAAATAAGCAGCGTTGCATCGTCGAAAGCGTGCAAGGTCCTAAAGGCATTCACGAGATAAATTTTCATTGTCACAACAGATTCGCAGGTGTGCATCATATGTAGCCCCATCCATGGTGCTTATGATGGGCGGGGTTAGAGCCACTTGCTTGTCACACCATACACTTGAATACTTTAATGTCAGGTGCGTAAATACGCCACCCTGAAGAACACTGCTCGCACACAAATAACGCTTTGATTAACCAATTTTAACACCTAAAATTCTATCACATAAATACGACTGGATCCAACCAAACACCGGATAAACCCATATTTTCGGGAGATTCACTACTGATATTCCCTCCATCGCAAGGCTTTGATAAAACAAAAAAATGCATTTGTAACACCCTTCATTGAACACTTTAGTGTTACACCTGAAGTCGGGGTCGTTGATGTTGCGACTCGGGACGACATAGAAGATCTCGAACGTTCATTATTTATTCATTTATTTATTTATACACCCAACTGAGTGCGCCACAACTGCACAGTAGCAAATAAAGTAAAAGTAAAAGTAAAAGTGGGATTAGGAAGGGAGAGAGGGCAGAAATACTAATCTCCAGAACTACAATGGAAGTGAGCTCAACGAAGAAGGCCTCATAGCTAGTAACCGCACCAGTTGGTAAAAAAGAAAAAAAAGAGGCTAAACAAAAAAAAAACAAGGACAAAAGGAAAAAAACAACATTCAAGTAAGGAAAAGGAAAACAGACACATAGGGAGACACAGAAAGGAAGTGAGACTGGAGAGACAAGGTTATTAGAAGAAAAACGGCGGTTCACTCAAGAGAATACAGAACCAGGATGTATGATCGCACGACAAAGAAAAAGAAATGTACATCCGAAAGACTGTGAATGAAACTTTCGAGGCATCGAGAGTAACCGGACAGGCACTCCATTGGACACGGTTGTCCCTACATACCGCTACAGGTATAGCTGCTACCCGATCGATGTCGACGGTGAGCTACCTCAATAAGACCTGAAAATGATGGCAACATGATAATGAACAAGCTTACGAGTCGACTATCTGAGTTACATTTAAGGCCCTCAATTTGGCCTTGAAAATCTTACCATTACTCGATTGTAGCACCTCTTGCGGAAGCCTTTTAAGCCATATTGCTGTCCGGAAGATGAAGGAATTAAATGTTAAGGCATGGTTGAACCTTTTTATTCTTTTGCTGTGCAATGAGAAGCCATTAGATCTAACACTACTAGGCCGGAAGACCCAGTACTTACTAGCTTTGAGCTTGATTTCTTTGCGAATTATGCGGAAACAGAAAACGGAATCACTTATGATACGTCTTTTCATTAAACTCATTGAACCAAACATTTTTAGACGATCTTCATAATTAGGTATCAGCCTGTACTCCGTGCCAGGAAACATTCTGAGAAACAAGATCCTCGTGAAAGTTCTCTGGACTTTCTCAAGGTTAGCAATATCCTTTTTGAGCACCGGGCTCAATACCTGAGAGCAGTGTTCGAGTTGAGGGAGGACATGTGGCTTGTACAAGCGAATTAAAATTCTGTGGTCGTCTGTTAGCACATTGCGCAGGATGAGGAACAAAACGGAGGAAGGTTCATTTACCACGCTGTCTATATGGGAAGAAAACTTGAGATCAGGGCCGTAAGTGAATCCCAAGTCCTTGGCAGTCTCGCGCCTGATCTCTTGATCTCACACAATCGTCTGGTCAACCGTTGACCCCACGGTGTACTGATCATCAATAGAATTCTCTCTTGGACCCTCCTAAGCATCGGTTCTGCCTGTCTCTACTTGCAACCTTTACATCTTGACCTTTGTTAATAGCCGAACTTCAGTTAAAAAAGCAGTAAGCCATCAAATACTTGCATCTTCTACAAATCTGCGTTATTTGAGGGGGTACTATCAAGTTTTTGCGGAAAAGAGCTGCAATTTTGACGCGCACCGGTTTTCCAAAACCTTAGCAGCTGGTGAAGCAATACTGATTGCACGGAAGAGGAGACCAGGTCACAAGCGGGAGCATTAGAGATAGCGGTAATCATTTCTCGAAATCCTTCAACATCGATTAGCAACGGAGAAGAAGTAGTGAGCGACTTCAGATTTTTGTAAAATTTTCTGGGGGCTGTACTGGTATCAGAACAAAAATCTAGTAGAAGTTTACTACCCCCGCGATGTCATTGGAACTGACTATAGGCGCTGTAAAAAGAGACGCAAAGAACTTTGCAGGTGATTCAGTTTTTAGAGCATCGTTTATCCACAGCACAATCTCGATGAACCGGTGCAGTGCTTGGGTTTCACTTTGTTTTTCATAACAGCAAACACTTCTTCATGTTCACACCCGTTGTGCGCGTTCTTCTTTGTAGACGAGGATCCTCCCTAGATGGTAACCAAGCGCACCGCACATTCATTTACAGAAGAGGATTGAAAGGGTTTCTTGTGAAGTGTGGAAGAGTCGAGCCATACGGCGGCTGCTGGATATAGCTGCGATCTGACGACTTCCTGATAGAAAAACCAATTTGTCAGACCCGGATGAGAACCGAATGAAATACCCATGCTAAACCTTAAAAGGTCTACATCCCACTGCTAAGACGTCTAATTCTTCATCAGCTGATTCGGGCATCCCATATATTGCAGAGGTGATTCCCTGTTCCTCCCCAGCCACAGCATCTGAGATATCTTTCGGAAGTTTGCGAGAGAGCGATGACCCACTACAGGGTTCCGAATTTAGTGGTCCTGCTCGATCATGCACTTACTATCTCAGAGGGCTGCAAAGCTCATTCTTCTACTTTAAGCTTTCTGACACTTCCAAGTACAGTAAACTATTATTGAGTTGTTCATTATTTGTTCTTGAACATTTGTATTATAAATATATAAGCTTCATCAGGCTGACATTCGGGCGGAGTCGCCTTCTTCAGAGCCCTAAATATCCTAATATAATTTGAGGTTATACTGTTGAACACCTCCGTTGTCTCTGAAGCTGAAGACCCTAGGGCAAACACATGATTCAAAGGAAGGCCACTCACCGTAACTTTGTATTTCTCTGGAACAATTCAGCAGTTGATATAGGAACCGACCAATGTCAGCTGAGATAGGTTTTCTTCAGATCAATTTAATCTAATGAAGATCGATCTAATGAAGCTTATGTACAAACCTCCTGAAAAATTCGAGAAAACAACTGGTACTGCAGTCATGCCGGGGCTCATAGAAAGCCATGCGTGAGATTCCCAACGAATTACGGCGCCAAGCCCAGAATCTATACTGGCCACCCCGTCTTGCTGCTTACACGCTTTCACGCACGTGAATTTGTGATTGAAATACTTTTTAGACGGGAACCAGTGCTTCTTTGATGACTTCTTTCCCGTTATTATCACAAAACAATCTTACTGGCTGTAATTCTGAAAAATTTTAGGAGGCGGTACGACTGTCCGTGTCTCTGTCCTCGTCGATCGCAACACTTCCGGTATTTTGTAGCAATGGATGTGCCGGAAACCGAGAAAAAATGTATAGATGTAAGCTACCACTTCTATAGAGTGTAGTTTTATGCAAAAATAACTGAAAACATATATACCCAAGCTTTGAGAGAAATCTAGAAGAGAAAAAAAACAGATTTTTGCATTCAAATTGAAATTAGCGAGGTGTCACTTGCAAACATATGCACAACGATAAGTAAACGTTCAAGCGAAATGTCAATATTTTCAGTCAAAGATCAACATGACTGTGCTATTCGACCAGTTTTGTGATCTTGTAGAAAGGGGACGAAAAGCCGGGAAATCAGTACTTGTCTGCAGTGCAAAAGGAAGGAATAGGTGAGCTCCCTCTTTCCTTACACAGTACTTACAATTATGCTGAAAAGATCCCTTATTACAGGGCTCCGGCATTCTGTGCAGCTTACCTGATAAGTAAAGAAAGAATGACTCGCCAGCAGGCTGTTGCCAAGGTCCTCGAGCAGGTAAAAATCACTTTCCATCACTGCTACTTTTCAACGGATCTCAGATTTACTCTTGGCAAAAACCATTACTTCATTGCCATTACTCAACCGAGCCGATCATGTGCTCAATCGATAGGTATCAGGCGTTGGCTTAACCATAGGAGAGTCACTTTCCTCAATCCACTATGGAGAATACAAGATTGTTCCTTCTGCCTAAGGCTATTCCGCCGCTTTCAAGGTTCACAAGGCGAAAGGGGAAAGGGTTGGTACCCCTGTAACCACAGACTGCTCATTCAGATGGCATGGAGAGTGATAACCTTTTCTCAATGGGAGCTGGTGAAGGACCTGAAGAAAAACGTGCTTAAAGGACAAGTTTTGCCTCTACATCAATCCTTCCGATGTTCTCGGCCTAGCCCTTTGACTTGGTACGGCCGACTGCATCGTGTGAGCAAGGCATCTTTACCTAAAGGCTCAGTTTACGATAATTTTGAGATATCCGGTTTTCAACGATCAGTGAGTGAAAATAAGTGAGAATAGTGTAAATGTAATGAAAAGCGTAAAAATAGCGATTATAGAGATATGAAATTTCGGAAAAGTACTGAAATTGGGGGTTAGACGAATATAGGGTTGCAAGGGGTGTGTGTCAAGTCGTGCGTCCAAAGGCGCGCGCGGCGACTTGCGCGGCGAAGTTCGTGGCGGATTTGGTAGACTCCGGCGCCTACCATTGGGGCTCATATCTGAAGTAGAGTATATTAGTAAGGTCAGCTGATCCTACTATTCTACTGTACTTCAAAATTGGGCCTAAATAATAGGCGCTAAAGTCGTCAGAATAGGTATGAATTTCGCCGCGCAGTTTGCTGCACGCACCCTCGGACGCACGACTTGACCGTCCCCCGGTTACAAGCAACGTATGGAAGGGGTGTTTGGTGCAATTGCGTACAGCTGACCAAGGTAAGCCGGGGGACGGTACTTACGTGCGTCAGAGGATGTGCGCGGCAAATTGCGCGGCGAAGTGCGTGGTGATTCGAACGACTCAGGCGCCTATCATTGGGGCCCAAATTTTACGTGGAGTCTTTGAGTTTGTGCCTCGATAATAGGCGCCAGAATTGTTCGAACCGCCACAAACTTCGCCGCGCAATTTGCCACGCGCATCCTCGGACGCACGTAATTACCCATATCCCGGTAAGAAAATATAATTGTTGTATGTTCGAAATGTTCAAAATTGTTTTCCCACCAGCTGATGATGCTGGGCATAGATGGTTTTATTCTACCCTACTCTTCTGTTTACTGCTACTCTGCTGCTAACAGGCTAGATATTCAGAACAATATTAGAAGCAGCAGTAGCATAGGGAATAGTCTAAAATATAATAACTTATCGCATCAATCTTTCTTATTATCAAAAAGCTTTTGCAGATGAGCACTATGCGACCTGCTCCAAATATCTCGGACTTCATGCAGAGAGCTCTGATGAGATACCAAACTTCGAAGGGCATTCAAGGTGCCCACAGTATCACGCATACCCTTCCTCTGTTTAGCATTAAAAGGACAGCTTGGACGTGACTGTCGCTGAGCTAAATGTCGTCTATTTCGAACATTGGAGCATAAGGAAAATTGACTGCTCACTCTGCTCCATCTACTCACCATCACCTAATATTTTCAATCCTCCTTTGTATGTACTTCTGTATGTATGTACTTCTGTTTGTATACCCATATTGTTCACCCGGTGTTCACTGTGCGTCTATTTCCGAAGAATTTGCAGGTCACCTTCTCAGCTGCACCACTCATTGTCAGCTGGAGGTGGAAGAATTTATCAAGAGAACACCGAAAACTTGTAAAATAAGAGCCGAACGATATGGACTGATCCACACTCTGTTGCGAGCCCAATGCTCTATCCACATGAGCGGCTGACAGTGCATCGGTGCAGCAAATGAGCTGTCTGTGCCAATCGTAACCACTATTTCGATCTTCGCCTTCTTATATTGTTAATTTATCGATTTATTGTTATTAATGAAAAGTATCTGATTTTTGATGCTAATGAGACGAAGGGACATTAGAAATTGTGAATTGTTAGGAACAACCGTGACCTCGTTTCGCACGATCGTCGAAACGAGATCACGCCGCAGTTGTCGCACACGGCGCGTCAGCCCACAGTTCTTGACCGGTGTCGCAGTTGTCAGTGGATCAGTGGACGACTCGCGCTTGGACGGACCGAAGAGAGGCTGACGCGGGCTATGCAGATGATTCTTCGTGACTCTGACTCTTTGTGCTACTGTTAT